TTTATCATATCATTATATCATTTATCATATCATTATATCATATCATTTTATCATTTATCATATTATATCACGGAGAAGCATTGGATTTCTCACAGCCCTTGTTGCTCATCATCCTCATGTTTTCCTCTGCAATCAAACGATAATCAGAGTTGATTTGCTTTATTGGCGCCGCTCTGATGGGCCAGTGACCCTGAACCCGATAAACATTATGAAGGATGATGGAGCCATGGGAGCTGCCACAGCCCTCACACTGAACTACGGAGGCTGCAGTGCCTCGCAAAAGGGCTTTTTTATTTCCCAGCTGGCTGAAAAAAAAAAATGTAAAAATGTATCCTGCAGGAATGACGGAGTGCAGTAGTTCTCTCTCTGCACAAGAACCATTACCGGCTATTTTATGAATAAAACCACAGACCGGGTACAAGACGTGGACGCAGTCATGGTGACGTCACCTCTTTGTTTTGAGGGATGACGGTTTAGAGCCTCGAGTTCAGAGATTTTGCTCCCAATCTTGGATTACGGCCATCGCCATGTTGTTTTTTCCCACAACCAGTGAACAGGAAGTGACCATATCTGGACTGAGGAGGAGTGACGTAGAGACGGCGTATACGTCTCTGGTAGAGACCTGTCAATCACAGTGTAGCCCCGCCCTAAAGCATCCCCTGCTTTATGGTCTGTGTGACTCTAAATGGACCATAATGTACTAAATGAACATCATGCTGTATTGAAGAAGACTTGAAACTAGAGATTGAGACCATCAACTCATGTTTACAATGTTTACTGAGGTAATAAATCAAGAGAGAAGTAGAGTCATTTTCTCATAGACTTCTATACAACCAGAGGAGTCGCCCCCTGGTGGACACTAGAGAGAATGCAGCTTTAACACATGAAGCTTTGGCTTCACTCTGCAGAACCGAATGTTGCCGCCTGCGATACTGAAGCGCTGGTATCAGCACATCACTCAAGGCTGTATCTTAATGTCTCTGCTACTAACACTACAGAGGCTTAGCTGCTGAACCGGGCTTTTATTTTGGATTTTGTACTTTAACTATCAGGTTTCAGGAGACCCCCCCCCCCCATGATTTCCCCCTTGTGTTATGACCTCAAAAACTGGGCTCCATTTCAGGAGAAACACGACTCGAAAAGAGCCAAAACATTTTCAGAAGGAAGAAGCAGAAACACACCCTCGACCTCTGAATCTTCCCCAGAGGCAAAAAACAAAAGCACAATACATAAAGTTAAGAAAACCACAACCTTGTGCTGCACTGAGGAGAGCTGTTCCCTCTCTGCCCCAATACTGTCATTCCTCTGCAGCCTCTGAAGGCGGCACCCAGAGGTGCCAAGACAGCAGCTGATTGAACCAACAGTCAACAGAGAAAGGACAGCAAGAGGAAGACAGGCGAGGACACATAGGAACCCACTGTCTGCACAAACCGCTGATGCTCAGAGACTGGATCATGAAGGGAAACAACGTGGTGTCGACCATCAGTCTTCTAGTTGAAAGTCCTGTTTGTTGAACTCGTCCACCAAACCTTTTGGATATAATGAAGTATTTAACCTGCCCGGACTGTTGTTTAGTCACATGGATGCATTTCATTTGTGTGTCCACCACGAACAAGGCTCCTCATTGACTTTCTATCGGCAATATTTTCATCCAGAGCGAAACAAAGAAGATCAGAAAACTCGTGTCCGTGTACACGAAACCAATGGATCGTCTTTCATGACTATTTCCCAACATGCCATGATGGGCTGAAAGATTTAGTCTCACCGCCGTAATAAAATAAAAGGGATATTCCACTGCAGTGTTCAAGTGAAAGCAGGACCAAATATGCACACGCACACACACACACACACACACACACACACACACACACACACACACAC